GGGCAAAGGAGGTGAGGGGGTGGGGGCAGAAAGTGGAGACGAAAGCAGACGACAGAACATTGTTAGAGAATAGGAAAGGATGTGAAAGGAGACAATTTTAGAGAAAATGTTTAGTCGCTATCCGGATTCGAACCCACGACTTATTGAATGATAGGCGAACTCTCTAGACCACGAGAGCCCCATTTAAGAGCTCCGCTGTCGCATGTGGGAGACCCGATTTCGAATCCTGAGTGTGGTGAAATTTCTATCAAGTTATATCGGTTATTCTGATGGAATGTTGTATCCCTCTCAGCTAGGGTTGGCCCTGACTAACAGGATTGGAAGCCCACATCCTAAATGATCTAAATTATGTCGATGGGAGCGTAAAGACAGCTACATAAAAAAGCAACTTAGGTAGAATGCGAGTGTTTCTAACTCAAATTTTAATGATGAATGTCATTGATTGAACACCTCGCCTTGCGAATTTTTAAAATTTAGATTGGGGTACCTGTATCACGTTCGTAGTCAAAGATTGTCAGAAACGGACCCCCCCCCCCCCCATTAACATGGCGCCTAAAAAGGGGCAAGGGACCACAAATAAATAGATGAACAAATAAATAAATAAATAAATGAATAAATAAATAAATAAGATTATATCATACTAGCTGGGTACCCCGTTCGATGAACGGACTCAATCGTCAGGTCATTGTGCGCACTGCTAGTGAATGGAAGTCTCAATTTTTATATCATGGAAAACGAAATAGGTCTATGTCCTGAACACTGCATTGAAATGACGAACGGGAAAATCGTAAATTGCCGATCGTGTTTTCTATTTTTCAAGTTTTTTTTGGAGGCGAAAGCAAGCACTTACCACTCATTGAATTGATAGAAATTTAGCCTGGTCTTTGAACTAGATCTACCCTCAGTAATATGTTCATGGTTCTACGTTCCGTAGTTTTTTTCAGTTATAGAAAACAACCATCCACATGTACGCAATTAAACATGTATAGATTTGTAGATAATGAAAAGATGGCTTTGCTGGATTCTGAGTGAATGCTTAAGGATAAATGACGTTTTAAAAAATAAATCAACGAGGCACGCTGGCATACGGGAAAAATCCTTTTCTGCCAACCAATACCTAAACAGTGTTCACACACACACACACGCACACACACACACACACA